AACTGTGACATCCAATCTCAACCACAAATCAACGGATAAATTAGGAAATTAATAATCATGGTAGTTTGAGTTAAAATTATAATTAGAGGGCATTTTAGGTATTTTTAAAAAACTCCTCTCTCCTCTCTCCGATCTCCAATCTCCGGCCTCTGGTGAACATTAATCCGGCAGGTACCAAGTAATCACAAAGATAGACAATGTGATACCCATTATGATACCTATTGTGATATACTGTGATACCAACTCAAACCTTCAAAACAAAGATACACAATGTGATACCCATTGTGATATACTGTGATATCATTGTGATACCAACTATGATACCAACGAAAACCTTAAAAACAAATATACACAATGTGATACCAATTGTAATACACAATGTGATACCCATTGTGATRTAATGTGATACCGATTTCACCGGAGGCCGGAGATTGGAGGTTGGAGAGATGAGAGAGGAGGAGAGAGAAAAGATGAGTTTTTTAAAAATACCTAATATGCCATTTAATTATAATTTTAACTCAAACTACCATAATTATTAATTTCCTAATTTATCCGTTGATTTGTGGTTGAGATTGGACCTCACAGTTACCACAAACTATTCAGTTCTCATTTGATTAGGCCCCTATATATATTATATGCACATGTATAGAATTGGTAGACACACACCATATATCAATATATTTCTTCCCTTACCTTTCGGTTTTGTATACATCTCTACCATCCACATTACTCCAGCCTACAAAATCACTGGCAACATCTCGGACCTTCATCTTGGGCTCTATCTCCTTACATTCCTCCATCATCTCCATTTTCAGATCCTCCATTCGTCTGATGAAAACCGAGAGCCCCTCATCCCTCTCTATTAACGTCTCCTTTCTTGATATCCATTATCTTCATATCCGATTAACATTACCATGAACCCCGTCCTGCAACCCACACAAGCACATGCGCATGCACGCTCATGCACGTACACGCACATGCATGCGCGCACACACACATATTCTATGACTAGGTTCTATCCTGTGTATTACACGAGGTAATTTGAAAAAATTAAATCATGTCGGGAACTTATTTTACAGATACGAATGATCATAAAGTACGATGCTACTTCAGACTTGTACTCTTGAAATAACTCTGAAGAATAACTATGAAAAATGACTCTTCAGACTTGAATTTAGAAATGAAACTATATCAATAATTAGTTAAAATGAAGTTAACCCTAAAATAAAACTAAATTTAGGAATGAAACTATATCAGTAAAGTAAATTTAGAATGACTCTTCAGATTTGTACTCTTGAAATAACTCTGAAGTATAACTCGAAAAATGACTTTAGACTTATACTCTTGAAATAACTCTGAAGTAAAACTCTTCAGATTTTAGAGCTCTGTATAGGCAAGCTAGAAGCTCTATATTTTTAATTGGTGTAAGCTTTGTCTTCTTGAAGTATCGTTGTTGCTGATGGACTTTACATGTTTTCATCGATCACTGAACAAACTCAGTGATGATCGCTGGAACTGAAGACATACACAATAATACTTCGTGTAAGGTAAAAGAGATTATCATCAAATAACTAAAAGAGAGGATCAATAGATTCCGTGGTGAGGACATTTTGGTAGAAGGTCCTTGAATCTCTCTCATGCGTCTGATACCGCTTCATCCTCTTCTTGACAAAACGTCATATTTCTAATTTTTACATTCCTTGTCAGAGGAAAGTATTTTTTTTTAGAAATTTTTCCGCCAAATCATTCCAAGTGAGGACCGAGTTTGGTGGTTGAGAATTTAGCCAAGCTCTAGCTCTATCGTTTAATGTGTAAAAGAAAAGTGTCAAACATAAGGCTTCTTGTGTGACTCTGAGAATTTTAAAATGATTTTGTTATTTCTATAAAAGATTTTAAATGAGAGTGCGGATCTTCCGACGATAATCTCTCAAACTGACCCATTGTGGAAATCATTTGAAACATTATTGGTTTTGGTTCAAAAGATGTTGTTATCATTTCGGGTCTACCTATTCCCGTAGCCAATTAACCGAATTCGGGAGTTGCATATCCCGTATGCGTCTATTTTTATCATCGACAATTTTAACCGTGGCTTCCCGAGGAGGTAGATTATCCCCCATGGTACGGTTTAAAGTGGGATTTCGCCGATTATTTCTACCTCTTCTACGTCTCTTAATGATTCTTTCTAACTCAAGATCAAGAGGTAAAAGTTCACCGTGTTGTATCTGTGGCATACAACAGGGGAAGTGCGATTGAAACAAATGACCAAGGCTCTAATGAAATTCAATATCTCAGGATAAAAAATTGCGCCAATCCCCGGCAGCGGCGCCAAAAACTTGATAGCTTGGAATTGTAAGTGTTCACACAGTGGGCACAAAGTCCCCACAATGGTGGTGGAAGTGCACGTTGACACTATGATCGCTTCAAGTAATAATAAAATGGTATAATGCCAAAACCGTTTCCACATGGATTGGACTACTGAGAATCATATAGTTTCATGAACTTCTTGAGCATGTTTTGGTTTGTGAATAAAAGTTGGATTTTGTTGGTAAAAAACTTTAAAATGCGAAATAAACATTTTCAAATTAAGAGATAGGTATGGGTGTAAGTTTTCCTTAAGATGATTGTAGGAACAGGATGGTCAGAAACTCATGAGACTTCTATAAAAACTTCAATATCTTAAAAGTAAATTTTCATATACTGTACCCACGGAGTGCCCACAAAGTTCCCATTGTCATCAATTTTAAGCTTGCCGAATTAGCTAAATGATAAAAAGATATATAGTTAACCACAAGGGTGGTGCCTGATTGGTTTGAGTTTGAGTCTAAAGGTCAAAAGTACCAGGAGGTTTCAGGTTCAAATCCAAGGAGGAATAAAAATCCCTTTGTGGCCACGGAGGTTCAAATGCAACGACTCCGGGCTATCTGCAAAGCAGGTGGTCGCCCTGGGATTAGTCGGCTCGCATAACGGGTTGGATATTCAGGTTAATTAAAAAAAAAAGATATATAGTTCCATTAGTCTGAAAATTTATACTCAAATATCTTTGTAGAGTAAATCTCGAGTAATATTTGAACCTTAGTTAAAAACATGCAAAATCCATATATCTACGTGATTATCAAAGACTCTCTCAAATCTTTGTGCATCACTTAAGCCATCGAATCTATCCATCTCTGGATCAATGATCTAATATTAACATTTTAAAGTGATTGGTTTATCCGCGTTGAGTTTAAGTTCCGACTTTAAGTGACCAAGCTTAAGAATTAGTAACAATGGCAACACCCAAGTGTGCCTACTAGTCTTAAGTTTGACTCACACCCACCCCCAAAAGGGGTGATTAGCTCATAATAAAATTAAAGAACATAGAAGAAGAAAAGAAATGCATATGGAGTACTTGAATTTAAATTTACTAAAATTGTTGCCCTCAGTGGGCAGACATTGGACAGAAACGTAACTTAAAATTAAATACAAGACAAGAAGTAAATACAAAAAATTGAACTCTAACTATTTTTCTAGATCTTCAGTTGAGAGTAAATGCTCCAAGAGATGTGTCTTCAAAATGAGAGTAAATGCTTCAATTTATAGTAGAAAGGGAGAGATCGACATCCCTTTTATCCAAAGGAAGAAAACATCCTTCATACTTTAGGGCAAAAACTTCATTTCACTTTTTTGCAAGATCTTCTAGTCTTGTCACCTTTTTTGAAAGGATGCAAAAGGTAGATATGACATTCCCTTGATTTAAGGGGGAAAAATATTTTACGTCATATTTTTTTAACACGATAGACCATCTCTTCAGATTTTATGAAATCTAAAGAATCGAAAACATATTTAAACCCTTTAAATACCCCAAAAAAGGATATTTAATCTTATCCAGATCTGTCTTGAAGAAATTGTCACCGTAGGCAGAAAGTGAGCATTGTCCAACAGTAACGGTTTTTAGATTAAAATCAAATCTTTGACCTTTCATCATCTTTTAAGAACATTTTAGACCAAAGATATAAGATAGAGACAAAATGGGTGCATAAAAATAAGAGTATTGAACAACAAATAATTCTCAAAATTAAGAGTTATCAATTACTTTTCTCTAAAACATTCTTTTCTTTTTTCAAAGATTTTTCTGAATCTTTTCTCTTATCTTCAAAATTATCCAGATAGTTTTGAATTTGTGCTTTCTCAACTAACAGTTGAAGACTTGCATGTTGTTCGCTTGTCTATCTTCTAAACCTTCAATCTTGTCATTCAGATTAGGAATTTACAGTTGTAAATCACAATATATTTGACAAGACATTGTTACCTGATCAAAATGATCGTTAATTAATATTGACTTAGAACAATTTGAAACTTGACTAAAAGTCAAACTTTGACCAAATGTCAACTCTTGAAAGTTAACAATTGAAAGTCGATACTTGAAAGTTTGAACAGTAAACAGTATTTGTTGCACGCTAAGGATGCAACAAGGTCAACTATCACATGCTTCGGGATGCAACAAGATCAACAATTGCACATAACTGCTTGGACCAACACCAAGTTTGACTTGGTCAACTATCGTATGATATGGAGTGCAATATCACTGTTTATGCACAACTATCGCACAATACTTATGTGACAAACAAAAGTATCGCATAAAGAAGGTTGCGATGTACTCAAGTATCACACAAGGTACATGCGATATACTCAAGTACCGCAGGTAGTGGTATGCGATATACTTCACTATCGCAAATAATGAGGTGTAATATCTTCAAGTATTGCAGGCAATGATATGTGATATAATCAACTATCGCATGCAATCGGAGTGCGATAAAAGCAACTGCCACAACAATATGATACGATATACTCCCTTTGATAATGCGATATACACTCTGAAAATTCAACTATCTCAACAAGTGTTGTGATAACTTTAAGAACACTAGTATGTCACATAAGCCTTAGATCTCATCTGATCGAATTTTGGTTCACCAAAAAACCAAAATTACTTGTAAATCCACTTGATTCATGGTCGAATTATGTACCCAAATACAATTAACAAAGATCTTAGTGTCTAAACTGTATCAAAATCAACCAAATTGCCAAAAATCACTAAGAACAGTCTTCGAACCAAAAATTCCAAGATTCTCAAATGCGATCAAATTTACTTGAAATTACAGAACAAAATTGATTAAGATTGATTCTAGTATGAAAACCTAATCATTTAAACTTCAAATCAGTTACTTATAAGATCAAATCACCAAGAATCACAATTCCAGTCTCGCTGTTCTTTGACATTTCAAAAAAACTTCAAGAAATCTTCAAAAACTTCAAATTTGATGTTTCAAATCTGTTCTAAATTCACCAAATCTGCTCTGATACCAATTGATAAGCCCAAAATCAAGTAAACAAACAATATCTAGAGTATAAGATAAAGATCATGTAATGCCATTAACTCGTATGTGTTATTGATAGAGAAAACTGTTTACACCTTACAAACACATACTTAAGCTACTAAAAGTATGAAATATGTACACTAGAAGTCAAAGTAAACATACATATACTGGGGGAAGTCACATGTTGACTTATCAAGGTGTTTACACTTTAAGAATAATAAAACTTGAATACTATATTTCAGCCCTAAGACCTTGAATGTCCCAATATTAAGTTTAATGAACAAAGAATTAAGGTAGATGAAGAAAAATAAAACCCTAAGAGAAATCCCAAGTAAAATCCCTCAAGCCCTGACCCCAACCTTGCTGTGACCCAGGGTTGCGTGGCTGGGTGGTTCACGTTCCCCACTCTCACCAAGCTCACCATCTTTACAGTTTGTTTCATGGCTTAGGCCGCGCGCCTACCTGCGTGAGCCAGAATCCAGACGCTGCCATGACATTAACTTTAGGTCGTGAGCCAAGTCGCATAAAGCCTTTTTTGGTCCAAATTTTCTGCTTTTCAACCCTTTTGATGCCATAACAGACCGAAAAGCTTTGTTACGTAAAAACTCATAACTCACACCTAAACACCAAGAATACAACTATAATATTCAAATTTAAATACGGTCAAAACTACGGGCATTACAGTTTTCAAAATTTCAACCACATGTAGATTTAAACAATATTTTACTTTATCATGCAACATTTACAGTTTATTAATACATCAAAAATTAATAAAAAATCATAATCAACTTGTAAACATGTTTAAATACAAGATAAACTGATAACTAACATAATACTATTACTCTCTCTCAAACCACAATACAATATAAAATGAAGTCGAGAGAACGTAATAGATATATTCTGGGTTGTATCGCATGAGTAAACTTCTTGTATATATAATATAATATATTAATTAATAAAGAAATAAAAAAGGTAAAAAACTAAAACACTCAATTATTTAACAAAGTTAGTTTTAGGGACGAAATCAGAAAGAATTTCAAACCACAATGACAAAAACCGTATTTTCAAAAGACCAAGGCCATAAACTGCTATTTGAACAAACCATAGGAATGAAAATCGTAGCTTAGGGGCTGCTTGTTTTTAATAAAAAAAACTCTTAGGGGCTGTTTACCAAATTTTCTATTAAGTCCTGTATGGATAAATTTGTCTGTCTGGATAAATTTGGCTGTCTGGATAACTTTGGGTTGCTGTTTACTTTTCTATCTGAATCAAYAGTCTGAATAACAKAAATGACCAATTTACCCCTGAGTATTAACCATGGGCTGTTTAGTATACTGTTAAACAAACCCAAAATAAAAAAGGAAACCGAGCAGCAAACAATATACTGGTTTAAGCACCTCTGGTTTAAGCAGCAAACTGAAGCATTTACAGCAAAAATCGAGCAGGACACAGAGCA